TTTTTTTTCTGCAACTGAGGCTTTAGAAAATTCATTACAGCGACGAATGAACGAACGAACGATACAACAACAGACACAATCATGGAATGAATGAACGAATGAAATAATAAAAAAAAACGAGTGAAAACCGAGTGATGCGATTTTTTTCGTATTTAATTTTAAACAAATAATGACTAAAAATTGTGTAAACGAACGCTGAAAAGGGATAGCCGCACAACGAAATAACTGGTGCACGTTTCATGTTCGAGCTATGTTGAAAGAGTGAAGCAAGAGAGGGTGGCGGTGATGGTGTACGAGCGAGAGAAAAAAACGGCATTACATAAAAAAAATCGATTTTTATTCGGTTGCTATATGCGTTTGACGCTGTGTCTCAATTCGACTCTCCCTAGTTCGTTCATTCAACTGAATTTCACTTAACATAGACCATGGTCTATGGCATTATGAGCCCCATTTGAAGAATACTGCACTCGTAGATGCAGCCTCAAAATACTTTGCATTCGTTTGCATTTTTATTTCGACGAATCGTTACCACAAACTCTGTGACCAGCCAATATCAACGGAGTATGAAAATTATGAAAAATAAATAGATTTTAATCAGAAGAGAGAAAAAAATGTGCGATGATTTTTAATGGCGAAACAAATAAAATGCCATCACAAATACACAGCAATCGAGAGATAGAGACACAGAGAGGGAACGAGATAGAGCGAAAACCACTCGATGGAATTTGATTTGTAATACGAGAGATATTTGCATTCGATATGCACAAAATAGGGAATCAACCCGGAGTGGTTGGTGAACGTCGCACTCAATGTTCTCTTTATATGTGTATTTGTGCATGTGTTTGTGTGCATTTAGCAAACATGGACGTAGCCCAATGTTAAATTATACGAATTAAATTTTCCGCATTTTTTTTCGCCCCTCTTTTTTTCAACGACGCCACACTATCCTCGCCCCTGCCATACAACATAACATTATGTAAATTGAAAATGAACTCACACATACTGGCCCGAATTAAAAAAAAAACAGAGTGAACATGCTAACAATGTTTGACGAAATAAAATCGACTAATTTTAATTTGGAATTACGAGAGACAATAATGAAATCATCTCATCGAATGCGTCTATTTATTATCAATAGCATATAAAACTTCAACCATTTTATATTTGATTTCAATTTTTCAGCACACAAAAGCTGGTAATTTATCTGATTTGCAAAAATCATTTTGTCTCTGAAATAAAATTGCGTGAGTTGAACAAACATTTTTTCATTCGTTAATTTATGTAATTTCTATTTTTGTCATTTCTATCGCATCACTTTATTTGATACTGATTGAATGTGTTTTTTCGGCTTCCGCTTCGCTGCATCCTTTTTGGCAAAAACATAGTGAGCTGATGGCTTCAAATGGCCAAGTCATCCGTAAACACTTTTCTATCTGATCATTTACATCGAAATAGAGAATCCAAATCATTTGGCCCAAATGAATGGTAATAACCAATTCACACTGAATTGTGAGCGCAACGAAACCGACCGTCTTTGCATCGAATTCGTGTGGTTCGTTACCAACAACGCGTTGGAAATTACAAAGACGACATGCAAAGCCGCGTTTAAGAAGTCGACCTTGAGCACCATTTCAAAAGGTACACCATCGAATCGCATGTATAATTACGAATCATTACGCATTGGTAGGTTACATACACTCGAGTCGCACGTCTAAGAGGTTATTATAGCGAGAATTGCCCACATTTGAACATGAAAATGTAGCAAAACGATAAATGGTGTGAATGTGTTCAGTGTCGGTCTCGATTTTGTTGATCGTTCACATTTCTGCTATGCCATTTTCGGTTTTTATATTCGGCATGCTATCAAAATGCGTGCCAATCAAACTTGTAAGTATGCACAAAATAAAACATATGCTATACTCACCCAGACACATTATTACGCTGCTTGAGTTTTTTCTTCTCCGTCGTTTCCTTCCTTCATTCTCCATTCAAAAAAGTAACCATTGTTCGTTGGCATCAATTGCGAGCCGTAAATCATAAGCCAAAACAACGAAAATCTATTGAAATTTATGCTGATTTCGCATGCGAAACTAAACCAATTTTCGTATTGTTCCCAATAAAATTTGGACGGCCCCAACTGAGATAGAGAAAGAGACTGCGAAAGGGAGCCATTTATTTCATGAGCGTGACCCAAGTACTCGACACACTCAACAATGTATTACATATTTGTTGGTCGGTCGGTCGGTCGGTCGGGTAAGCAATCAATCGAAAACTCGATGGGAAAAGATATATTCAACATTAGATCATATGTTTGGTTTTACTTTGACGATGATCTTGACATTGAAGGTGACTTTTAGCTTTTTTCGGGTTTCTTTTGTGTTTTGTTCGATTCATGTGTGTATCGTATGCACGGTACATGATGATCTGATGCCCGAAAATAGATCGAGAGCCAAGACAATGAGCAAACGCTTGCGCGCACTCGCCTTAATTGTAGCTATAACAATGAATCGGTAATTTCGGTTACTTGAACATGACGTGCGGTAGGCGTCATAATCAAAACCACATCAACGACAACGCTTCCGATGACGAAGATGACGACGACGGCAGCGGCAGAGGCATTGCTTTGGATTTGAAATCACTTCGACTGTGTGTTTCTTACCGGGTTATCAATGCTTGACAGAATTCAATTAACATTTACTTATCTCGTGCGTATGATTTGTAGCCGGTCTTACTTTTAGTTTAGCTACCCTTGCGCACACGCTTCAAGAATGAAGAGCACAAGATGTTGGCTCGTTTTTTGCTGCTGATTGATTGAATTGCGCATTGTAAATCACATAAATTACCGTGGGTCTTTGATTTCGGAAGTATGTTTTTGAATCATCGACGATGACGTTTGCGGTCACAGGGACAATGATGCTAACCATTTGATTTAATTAATCGTATCAAAGTTGAATCGTGACAATTAGTTACGTGAGAGACAGACGGTAAACATTTATGCGAAAATGTTTATATCTGAAAATCAGCAGCCGCAGCAGCAGCAACACAAAACCGTACAGAATTGAAATTCGATTCGCAAAATTTGGCATTTCAAATCGTACAGACATGAACTTGATTGATATAATTATCTGTATCGATCGATTGAAGTCGATTTTCGGATATTTGAAACGCATTTTCGTCGGTAGCCGGGCTATTGAAAACTGAAATATCATCACGTCTAATTGGCAATGAACATAGGGCAAACTGAGTTTTTAAGGTAATTGCTGCAGTTGCACACACACAAACTAACACACTCACACTCGATTGTACCATTGCCATTGCCGCATTGACTCCCAACTGACATTGAAAAATTCAGACAAATTGCTGTAAGCCATTGTTTTAAGCCAACACACAAATCAGAATCAGACGCAGTTTCACTTTTGCTTTCAATCTTTCAACCACAACAGCATCACTTTTCATTTCAAGCAACAACAACAACAACAACTTCGGGCCATTGAAAGAAGAATTCCGTCTGATGCGGAAACGCGCATGAGAAAATATTAAATTTCCATCAATCTTGGTTTTGACAGACGGTTCTCTAATAATGGTTAGAACTCCTACGTAATTTACTTCGCACACACGTCGAAAAAAGTGTGTTGGACAGAAAAAGACATGCCGGATTGATATCATAAAGCACAACCTGAAGATAAATAAATGTCAGTGTGAAGAGTAGAACAGGTAGTCTGGACGATGTCGAATCCATTTTCCCCAACTTTGTAGGCATAGGCATGGCAAAAGAATAAAAAAAAATACACACCAACATTCGATGTGGTGGCGTTCATTCATGTATCGAAAGTAAACAAATGGAAAAGATGGCAAAAAAAACGTTTTGAATGTCTGAAAAAGAATGAAAGCTTTTTTCCCCTCTGGATGGCATAAAAACAACAAGAACATTTCGCCGCGAGTACATAGACCAAGAGCCAATGCTAAAGTATAGGTAGTCTGCCAGATGATAGAGACGAGAGAGAAAAAAAATGTACGTAGCCAGAAACATATAAATGAACAGCGAGAGCAAGACAGAGAGATAGAGCAAGAGAGAGAGAGAGAGAGAGAGAGCATCGAAGCGACGATTGTGTACTTGCCGACTTGGTTTTGGTTCACTTCTTTTCCACCGTCGTTCTTGTTGTTCCATACGTATACGCCGAGACAAAAAAGAGGCTGACGCCAACAAACAAAAACAATGAATTAGGGCAGATTTTTTTCTCTGCTGTTGCTGTTGACTATGCTTGTCTTGCGTGAACGGCAACCACATTGTGTACTACACACTAGAAAAAAATCAAAACAAAAATGAATTCAAAACGCCTAGAATGAAAAAAAAGCGACGGCAGCAGCAGCAGCAACAACACAAACAACGCAAAGCACCAATGGCCGTATAATCATCATCAGCTGAAAACGAAATACTTTTACTTTTGTTGCTGAGACTGATCGAACAAAAAAACACGGAATCGCAGATCCACTGCGAAAAAAGACTGCCTCTTTTTATGCATGTGAACAGAAAAAAAAGCAATTTTTTACCCTTGGTATGCTGTTTACTTTTTCAGTCGATGACGAAAAATCGTAAGCGCCACTTTTTTCTCTCGCTTTCTGTTCTGCCGATGCATTTGCATGCCTTTGAATGACAAAAAAACAACAACGACGACAACAACGACAAACCGGCACTTTTTTTTATCGAATCAATTAAATATTCATCTGGAGTAAACGCGCTGTATACATTTTTGATGATTTTTTTTTATGCTCTTTTGGATTCATGGTTCAAACATCGCGATGAAATATGTTTCGAACATCTAAATGTTATTATTTAAAAAAAGAACATACACAGCAACAGTAAACCCATGTAATAACTCAATTTATTGTGACTTATTACATGGCGGAGAGCGTGTCATTTTTTCTGGCTTCAATTATTCAGACGCCAAGTTGTTTGACTATATAAAGCAAAAACAAAAACAAAAACGGTAAGCGCTTACCTGTGGACACATTTTGCATTGATATTTGCGACCAGTGCCGGGCCCATTTGCAAGCGATGCACCGATTTTAGTGGCATTTATTGGCTGTGGAACAACAAGCAGTGCGGCCGGTGTGTTTGTATGACCATGAGACAATCCACCGATACCTGGGCCACCAAGACCCGTATTGCCAACATTATGCACACCAATACCGCCCGGCGATGAACTGTTGGACGAATTTGATCGCAATGCTCCGGCCGCCCCGTAAATTGCCATGTGATTCTGACTCGGTTGATGATGATGATGCTCTAGACGACCATCGTCGAGAATATGACCTATGTATAATTCAAATCGGTCGCAAAGAAACGAAGAAAACGATTGATAAATTATTAACATGCATTTTGTATAAAGCCAATTTGTTCTTCTTTTAAATTGTCTACTTTAAGGCGCTTTTCTCATTATCTTCGAGTGGATAAAATATCTCAAGTGGATTTCGAGAGGTATAAATTTAGCATTTGATTTATTGCGCTTGATGTTGAAATACTGCTGACGAAAGCAACTGGTTTCATGGTTCACTTCAAATGTGTCTACGTGCGTGAACGGACGCAAATTCCATTCACTTTTGCACACTTTTACAGAATTTGAATCGCAAGCATTTTTTTGGCTTGCTATCGATAATAGCGCGTTTATGGATTTATACTTAATTGGCTTGAATATAGAACGATCATAAAAATAACCGAAATTATTTTTGGAAAAATGAATACGATTATTGTTCGACTGGGATTTAAAGAATTAAATATCATTTGAAACGAAGATAATACATATATTAAATTCGCAATTCGGAAGTCAACAAAAACCAATCGTAATTTCATCCAGCGATTTTTCAATAAAGAAAAAAAAATTGCTTTCCTTCGACTGTGAGTTGAACACAGGACCTATGGATATCAACTTGTACATTCTACAGTCCACCGCTCTACCAACTGAGCTACCGAAGGTATATAAATTGCTTGAATAGGTCGCTTCGAATGCGCCCATGTCGACACATAAGCGATCGACATTTCCATTCACTTTTGCACAATTGACGAAATAAAACACGTATTCAAATCATTCGTTCAGCTTTACCTAGTACTGTGAATTGAAGTTTTGCAAATGATACTAAGAAAATCGAAAAAATAAATACAATTCTCAACATATATAGTAATTTGAATTCGCATTTCGGAGATAATCAAAAAAATATTTAAATTTCGTCAAATATTTAAGAAAATTTTCGGAAGCAAAAAAATTTGGCTTCCTTCGACTGTGAGTTGAACACAGGACCTATGGATAACGACTTGTACATTCTACAGTCCACCGCTCTACCAACTGAGCTACCGAAGGTATATAAATTGCTTGCCTAGGTCGCTTCGAATGCGCCATATTAGTCGCTTAAATGAACGAAAGTTCCATTCACTTGTGCATAATTTGCAAAATGAGACACCTGTTTTCTATCAAGAATGTGCCTAAATTGAACCAATTTGTTCACTAAAAATCAATAAATGATCGAAATGTTGCAAAAATATGCAAATTCACTCGAAGAATACTTCAATTATTTGAATTTAACTTGAAGCAAATACGAACAAATATAAAAATGTAACCAAAAAAATTGTCTGAAATTTTATGCTCCAAAGTTTGGCCATAATTTCAAATTTTAATTTAAAAAAATTCAAAATAAAATTTTTTTAATTTTATTTCAAAACATAATGAATAATTTCATATGAAATCCATAAAAAAACATAAAAAAAAGAAAAAAAAAATTTGGTTTCCTTCGACTGTGAGTTGAACACAGGACCTATGGATATCAACTTGTACATTCTACAGTCCACCGCTCTACCAACTGAGCTACCGAAGGCTATGGGTATGGTGGGCCCCATTTTGCATATAGTGTGCGCTCCATTGAACGTACGTCACACAATCACTGAAAGTTGACTTCGTAATCAGTCGATTTATGGAATAAGCGTGTTTTTGTTCAGTTGCAATGCAAGAATTATCTTTGCCAAAATGTGTTTTTGTCTGATTTAAGAAATCATGACCTATGAAATATTTCCATAAGATAAGAAGAGTTCATGTCGATTGAAATGAAATTTCTTTCAGAGAAATTTGTTTGTAAAGTCGCTTTGATCACTCTCATTGGGCGAACCATTGAAAAAAGTGAAAGGTGCTCCACATACGGCTATCAATACACAAACACACTTATGTGTGCTTGTATATACCAGTTCGAGTCAATTCAAAAATAATCCAAATCCAATCCACTTGTGATGTTTTTTTTTTCGCTCTTAAAAAAAACTTTGTCCAAAAACTTTTCGTTTGCGTATCAGTGGAACTCCGTTTAGTGGGTGTTATTCACCTTTTTGCAAATTGTTGGGATGATGATCATTCATTTTGGCCTGCGAAAGTGAAGAGAGGAAAAAATGAAGCACAATTTTTATGAATGTACAATTCTCACAAACACTTACCTCGTAGCCTTGTTTCATGGTCATGTGATTTCTGGGTGCTGGCCAGCCGCCATAGTCAATTTCCTTAACGTGTTGACCGCATTGCTGTACGTGGATGCCAGAAGGAAGAAACAGCGAATCGTTATTAAAAAAATTATTCATAAAAATTTCGATGAATATTAAAATTGTTTTAAAGATTGTAATTCACTTAATTCGGTCGTTATGTTTGATGTATGGAATTTGCTTTATGCAAACAAGCAAATTGGTATCCGTTAATAAAAAAATTCTTCATGTCATTTCCCGGAAAAATTCGTCAACATGAAACTGGAATGGATCATTTGTTCATTCGTAGTAGGTGAATCTAGGGGAAGATCATAACGGAAGAAGTGTCGTAGTGTAGGTCGGGCATGTAATGTGATGGCACATGAATCTCGTCTGAGTAATATTGATTTTTCAATTCGTCGATAGAGTCTTTTTTATGTTTGACGATGATGACGACGACGACGACGACGGCAGTGATGATTGCCGTTCGTTGACGGTGGATGCATTATGGCTGGTTGAATATGTTTCGTGTTGCGCTCTCAACGAAACGCCAACGTATCTGCGACGTGTTCAAAACATTCAACAATACAAGACAAGACGTGTAAATTTGTGCTGCATACACACTGGCAATGTTTTCGGGGGTAGCGAACACGCATTGTCAATATTTGACAACTGCATACTTTTTTTCTCTGCTCTTCTTTCTTGCTCCTTTGTTCGAATTGAGTCGGGAGCGAAGCGAGAGCACCGGAAAAAAGGTGAAAAAAAAGTTTTCCATCCGAACCGGTGGATGTATTTGTTTAGTGCTGTGTGTGCTCGCGCGCACAGTAACACATGAGGCATAGAGAAAAAAAGCGTTTTTATTTTGATTGAACATAGTGAAGAAAATAGATAAAGCGAAAAGAATATCCGTGTGTATGCGGAAGCGGAGAACGAAAGCGAGGTATATACACACAGTGTATAGCATAAGAAATAAGCAAGCAAATCAATTTTATATAGTTCATGTTTTCAAAACGGTGGGAGAAGAAGCTCTTCTTTTGTGTGCTCTATTTTTCGCTCAGCTTGTTTGGCATTTTTTCTTTCTTCTGCTCTGCACTCGCTCTCTGCCTTTGATATATATATATGTATATAAAATAGACAAGAGGAACGGGAACGAAAAAAAAGCGAATAGAAGTCGTGAAAAGAACTAAATGTTTCATGTACGCTATTCATCTTTATGCATTGCATTTTTCAAAATGTTGCCACAAAAGGAAAGTACCTTATTGAAATCGATTGAACTGCATTTCGTATATGCGATAGGGAGAAGTTCATTTTTTTGCCCGTCTATTCCTTTGCTTTCGCTCGCTCTATCTCTCTCCCTCGCCTCCTCTCTTCTTTCAAAAGAAAAATCCACTTTCACGGATTGCAAGAGTGCAATCAACAAAAGACGGATTCCAAAAGCATGTACATAAAAGAGTCGGGAAAATGCAAAGCTCATGCCATTTCAAATCGGTCGATGAATCAACGGAAATGCAATGTCAAACATTCGATATTTGAAAGTAATTTTCGGGAAATGTATGCGATTTTTCTCTTTATTCATTCGTTCCAGCTATTACTTCGCCCTTCGCGGGAAAAATTTGTAACACAAGAACAACAAAAAATAAAATGAAATATCCGAATGAGAACTTACGTCAACACCACCGTTCCACATGTAATGCATGCCGACTGTTGGATCATGATGCGAATTCGATGTCATGTGCTCGGCCATTACAGCGCTCATCCAATGGACAAGTCCTTGCGTTGGATTCTGCGACTGTACACCTCCAACAGGCATCGTGCCGATTAATGCTGCTTGGTCGCGAAACATAAAGTGAATGGGACAGAAAAACGGGTGTGCATCAAAAATTTATTCGATTTCATTATTAAACTACAGCGTATTGCTTTTCTTCCTCGGCTTTCGTTTGACGAAACGAAACGGGAAAATTGTTTGCACTCACGATTCACGGTTGATGATATTGATGTCGTCACTGTTGGCGTTGTTGTTGGATTGTCGTCGCTGTTTCCGATTTGTGCTGAACTACCGTTATGCGGTTGTGGACTTGTTATATGGTTATTTCCACTGTTTACTGAACTGCTATTATTGTTATTGTTATTTGTCTCAGTGTTGTTATTATTGAGTCCGTTCAAATTAGTCTCAGATGCACTACTCCAGGGGAATGATGGGGTTGCTGACTTCTATTTATATACGCGGTCGGTAAAAATAGAAAAAAGAGAAAATAATAACACTCAATTAGAATCAAAGCATTGATTTCTTTGTAATATTTCATTCAGTCGACCAGCTAAAATCTTTTTAGACAAGAAAAAACGAAAGAAAAAAACCAAATCGATTGCTTCAACCAACCAACAATAAGACTGGATTTATATTTTTATAATATATTTCCCCTTCGTGTTCTTCCAGTGAAACAAAAATTGAATGATGCTTTTAGAATCGATTCGTAAAAGCATATATTCACATCGGACCACTTGCCGCACAAACACACTCTCTTTGTCTGTCCAACATGATCAAAACTAACCTCAGTGGTGGTAATCGTGGGCTTTTCATCATTTTCAAAGTCGGGCGAATTCGGTGATTTGTCTGAATATGAAAATAATAAATTGCGCGGAAATGGATGTGAACACATTTTATCGGGGTTATGAAGAACGGCATTGGCAAATAAGCTTTTGTACAATTGAGCGGCGGGCAGCAGAAATGGTGATGATTTGTTTGAATTGAAGGAGCAATTGTTGATAGTATTATTGTTACTGTTGCTGCCGCTGCCGCTGCTCGAATTTGCCGATGCCGTGGCATTTGCTTGTTGGCTAACCGTGCCATTGCTACTTGTTGTATTCGAATAGTGATGGTGATGATGGTGATGATGAGCGTGCTCTGCTGGCGAAATGCTGCCACTCGTTACGGTCGGCAAGCATTCGTTGGCCGCCATTTGAGATGTGTGCGAATGATAACCGTAGAAAGCGGCCGACAAACCATGATGTGGTATGGAAAAACCGCCCATATCCTTACGATATTGGCCATTTGTAGCGCTCAAGTGATGGGCATTCAAACGGGACAAATTCGTTAGAATGCTGCTTGTTGCTGTGGCCGCCGCTGCAATTGAATTTGCCTTAAATGCCGGTGTTGTTGCCGAATCATCGTCAAAATCGTCGGGCGATGATACAACCGAGCTGGCATTACTGTTATTGCCACTGACTACGTTCTCAATAAATGCACTGGTCGAATGATTGGGATTCTCTTTTCCCAGTAACGTCGACATATATGCAATGAATGAAATTTCACGCAATTCACCGATTGAAATTCTTTCTCTCTTTTCTGTTAATGTGTGTATAAATTTTTGTTTTTTTTTTGTTATCGAAATCGAAATCGGATTGGTAAAAATGATTGGCACATATTATGGCTTGATTTTTTGCATTTATTTTTATAATTTTTCTCTCTGTGTTTGGCTTTTTTTAGTGCACAAAATGAACTTCAGACTTCACTTCCATTGAACATAATACTCTTTGATAAATATCACATTTTATTCGAATGATTGCATCCTTTTTGTAATCATTTCAACTTTTGGCACCATTTTTTTAAATTCATTCATTCATTCAGTGGTATTTAAAAAATACAGACTTTCAGCTTTATCATAAAATATGCATTTTTCTCTCTTTCTTTCTCTCTTTCTTTCTCTCTCTCTCTCTCTCTCTCTCTCTCTCTCTCTCTCTTTCTCTCTCTCTGTTAAATTTTTCTACTTGTTGTTGTTATTTCGCACGCAATTTGTTATATTCTACTTTTATTTTTACTTGTTTCGGTTAATAAATATGTATACACATTCGAAGAATGTGTTTATATCGACAAGAAAAAAAAACGTATGATAAAAGCACATTTGAATAGGAACATTGGTTACAATAGCCACACAACTGCAATCATACTTGCTGGATCACATGCGTGCTATAAACTGTTTGCCACTTTATTTTTTGGTAATGAACAAACAGTATTCAAGATTTTAATAATAAATATATCATTTTTTTCTGTGTTAGGAACTTTGGCATTGTCGAACAATCGTAGTAAAAAAAATTGTTCTATGTTTTTTCACACGAAACGGATACACATTTCATTGAATTCGGTTGTAAATTGAACATTTGAAACTTAACTCTCCCGCATGCCATTCTTGTCACACTCTCTTAAACGTTTGTCTGTCGGAGTCGGAGCAAAAGATCACGTGATTTTAAATCCGATGGCAAATATTTTGAATACAAATTTCAGTTACAACACTCATAATTGCGTCGAAAACCATGATTCACTCTGTGTTAACTTGCACATATTCAATGGAAATTTCTGTTTTTAATGCACTTTCACCCAATGGCAAAGGAAAAAAAATTGGATTTTTTTTCTATCCTGGTTGTCTGCCACAAAACAAACTTGATGATGTCGACGAGAGCAGCGGGAAAAAAACTGAACCAAACCGATAGCCACAATGAACTGATTCGTCAACACCGATAACTTTTTGCACACCGAAATATCGAAAACCGAAATGAAGTGAGCTGGTGTATGTGTGTGTGTGTGTAGAAAATCGATGTGCAACAATAAGAAGACGGGAAAAAAACAAGAATTGCGGTAGCAAAATCACATAAAATGACGACTTATTTGTTGTGGAGACGAGTTTTGGAGGCGCGCGCGCGACCAACCGAACAAACCGAACGAACGAATTTCGAGAAGCGCGCGCGAATTAATGTGTGTGTGTATGTTTGCTATGATTATTGATGGACGATATGATCGAATGGCAAAAAGCATCATCGCGGGGCGCGCGCGAAACCACAACAAACCGTAGAACGCACCAAAAAAGACTACCGACTTCTGGTTTTCTTCAACAGACAAAATGCAATGATATTATTTTTTCGCTCACTCGCTCCCTTGACATGCAATTTTTCCTATATATATATATTTAGTTTTTTTTTTCTTCTTTTTGTTCGTGCTCTGCTCTCATTCAACTGCTTCGACTTCTTTTTCTTTCTGTGTTCATATTTCGTCTTCGCCTTTTTTTCACTTCTTTTCTATTCTTCGTGAGAGAGTGTGCACAGAGAACGAGTGAACGAGTGAGTGAGTAAGAGCGAGTATGTAGTGCGGTTCTATATGAGCGAGAACCGAATGGATGTATGTGTATATATATATATATATATATATATATACACGTATGTTGGGGGATATGTTTGTATGTTCTCTTTGTATTCGAATTGATCTCGTGTATGTACTGTGTGTGTTCCGTATGCAGTGCCATGCATTGTACGGAGAGGGTGGCTAGAGTGCACAGGAGTGACGACGTGGTGCAGGAATGAAGGCGAACGGCATCAAAACGAACGACACATATAGCAAGCAAAGGGATAGAGAGCAGCAGCAGCAAAAAATGGTAATAATAAATACATACGGTTTTTCAGACGATTTTCTTTTCTTCGTCATTTTCTTCATTCGAAGAAAGTCTCTTTCTATCGCGCCGCGCGCGAGAACCAGAGTGAGTTCTCGTTTCAGCGCTCTCGCGTTCTCATCCTCCCTCCCTGTGCCGTCAATCCTTCAACCATTCGCAAAAGCAGTTGTAGTTTCGTTGGATTTCGTCTTTTTCCAGTTTTCTTCTCGTTTTTTTTTTGTTCCTTTGCCGTCTATCTTGTGTGCACATTTTTTTCCTTTCATTCGCCTTCCTCTTCTGCGTTCAACAAATGTAATCTATCGCATGTATGTAGTTTTTATGCACGCCACACACATATTTACCCTACATACACGCTGTAAACGAATGAACGAACGAAGAAAAAAAAACACCAGCCAAAGAACACATTCGATTCTTATAGCGTATGCATGTGCGCCTCCGTACATTTTCCACCATACACATCCAGCTTAAGCCATCATATGCACATCTTTCAGCATAGAGCGAAAGCTTAAAATGCATAGCGACGACGAGAGGAAAAAAAAATGGAAAATACAAACAACAACAGAAGTAGCTGCAGCAATAGCAACAGCGGCACAAGCGAACGACGTTGAATAACGGTTATTTTTCTTTCACTACTTATTTTCCACACTTTTTTTTCCTTCTTTCTCATCTCGTTACTGCTGCTGCTGCTGCTGCTGTTGCTTTTTCAAATGTGTATGGGTGCTTTTTCTTATTTGTTCTATTCTTTGCCTTCATTTCTTTCTTCAAATTTCTTTTTTTCCATGCGCTTTCTCTCTCTCTCTCTCTCTCTCTCTCGCTTTTTTTCCTTAACAGTCAAAGCGCTTTTTTCCTTAGCACCAGCACTCGCCGTTACTGTATATATGTGTGTGCTACTTCCTCTTTGTTATTGACGTAGCTGTTGTTGCAGTTGTTGTTGTTTTTGATATTATTATAGCTGTGTTTTTTTCGCTCTCGCTCCTATTTGGCTAGTAGCATGTGCAATTGTACATCGCACTATCACTACGGAACATATTCCACACATGAGAGAGACAACAAATAATGAAATAGAACGCGGGGGGGGGGGTAAATCTTGAAAGCAAAAGGGAAAAAAGCACACAACAAGAGGGTGAGTGCATAGCACACAACAAACCCACTCCCGCCATATAAACTAAATGGGATTCGATACGTAAATCGTATTTGTTTGTTGTAGGTATGCGAGTGATGGCGGCAACGACGACGACGACGACGACGACGGCGGTGACGACGAAATGAATGAGCGAGAAGCAACGAAGCACACAAGAAAAGCTTCACCAATTTCTTCATGCACTCAATGCCTGCTGTACAAAAGGCAAATAAAAACCAAATTGAAAAGAAGACACATAATAGTAAAAGCTGAAGCAACGAGCAAAAACGACAACGAATATCGAAAATATACATTTCGTGTGTGTGTGTGTTTGTTTCTTTTCTATTCGGCTTGTTTTTTTCCCGTTCTCTTCATCTGGTCTCTTTTTTTCGCTTCTGTTCTGCGCGAAGAAATCGAAACGAATACAAACGGGAATGAGCCACATACGAAATGCTGTATGAGTGTTATTGCGACGTGTTTTTTTCCCTTTGGTTTTTCGCTCATTTTTTTTCATCATTTCTTCTCTTCTGTTCTGTCCCGTTTCCGCCTTGCGATTCGATCGCTTCACGATTCTAACGACGTGAGAATGGGCATGAAGTGAATGCATCTTGCATCATCGAAGAAAACCTCTCACCAAAGCACTACCGACGAAGCGCTAAACGCAAACCAAACCAATAAAATAAAGAAAAATGCTATAAGGAAACGAAATGACATACATAGAGGAGAAGAGTGAGAAATAAAAATAGGTAGTTACGATCCCGTCGCTCATGTGTTGGTGCGTATTGAATTTTTGTGTCCATTGCACATCACTCTTACTTCATGCATCGCTCTCTTTTCATCCATTTTTCTTGAAGCTTGCCGCTTTTTTTTCTTTCTCTTTTTTTTCACCAGCGTTTCCGTTGTGTGTGTGTGTGCACTTTTTTCGGCATTGCAAAAAAAAATCGAACGTCAGATGAAATGGAATCAAACGATTCAAAGAAAATTGAATATATCGAAAAACACACAACGAATCGGATATGTACACATGGAAAATGAAGAAAAAATCGAAAATGGGAAATGCGCACCAATGAAAAGCGGCGGCGACAGCGACATTTAATATCTATCAGTCGCGAATGCATTTGCAAGACTCAGGTAAGCGATGGGATATTTAATACGTGCTCTTCTATTCGGGGTAGAACCTTCCAAGGAAACATTGATCAAAGAAAAAAATCTAGCCAATTGGCATAAGAGCGGTCGCTATTAAAATAGAAAATGTAATAAAGCCCAAGAATTAGAGATGAAATACCTTGACAAAGGAATGAAAGCCGCATTACACGGTATTTGCGATGTAAAACAAGACTCGCGTCGGACTCTAATGCGTCGCTATTTTACATTGAAATATCAAAGAAAAAGATTCAAGACTGTTGTGGCGTTTTGCGGGTGTATAAAAGCTTTGTGAGAAGAAGAGAAAATAAAGAAAGAATGAGACATTCATTTCTTTTTCTACGTAAAGAAGTTGAAGGACGTCGAGTGCACTTTGAGCAACGGAAAAATTATTCCAGCGATAAACAAATGATGATTGACACAAGTTCATTTGCAGCAAAGAAATCAAATTTATAAGATCATATGGCTACAAAGCGTCGGCTTTTGGCAACGGCGAATAGAAAACTGTGTATCCGTATGTGAAAACTCAGTAACAATTGGTTTAAACCAGTAACAATGAATGGATAAGTTGTCCTTCGCATCATGTAGTTCATTTTCTGTACATTTTCCTTTAATTTTCAAGCATAAATTGCTGGTGTGCTGCAGCTGCTGCATCATCATAGCGATTTTATCAATTTCAGGTCGTTGCAAGGAAATTCTTTGGAATTCATCAGAAAACCAGCTGCCGTTCATCCCTGCAACGATCATTCTACATTCTGAGTAAGCAAAATCTCGTCCAATTATGAACAATTACATCCGAATCATATTCCATTTTCTCTCTCTCTCTCCCTTATTATACCTAGTAAAACTGTTGAAGGCAAACGAATCAAATGCAAAATGACTTCCTCGAATGAAGCACCGTCGAACCGAGAGAAGATGAAAAAATGTGCTGGAAATGAAAAAGGAAATGTGTTCCGTTCTACATGCCACCATACGATCAGAATGGAGCACACTGAATGGCATTGACTATGAGAAGAAATAGCGACCGTTTTTGCTACTCTGTCTCTCTGTCTATGTGTGTATGGCTTCTGTTTACTTTTTCCTGCTCTACGATTTTCCATTTTTACGTCAATTTCCATTCTATCTTTTTTTTCGTACGTCGCTTTCTGTTACGGGATTTTTCTACATATTTGGCTTGCGACGAGCGCCCGCAAAGTTACTTGTCGCCAAAAGAAATGAATCGAATGAAAGGGAGCACAGCACTGCACGGCACAGTCGAATAAGTCGATCTTTTATAGTTTAATCAACCATTCACACAAATAAACATGCACTCGGCGCAAAAGTGTCCAGCGCTTTAGCGCTACGGTAGAAAGAAAGATGAGGAAAACGGAACGATTGTAAAATTTTATTTGTTTTCCGTTTTTCATTTTGTTTGCTAAATGTTTTCGTTCGTTGTGGCAAACGATGTTTCAGTGATGATGCTCTCAGTGATATAGTACCTTGTGCCAGCACAAGAAAGTCCTCTCTCTGTACACGTGTTTTCCTTTTGACTTGACTGTATTCTTCTTTCTTCCACTGTGTCTCTGTGTGTGGGTTGTTTTGTCTGCTGTTAAATCGTTCACACGAATGTTTGCACATACCGAACAAAAAAAAACTGCTCAGATGTTTTTGCACACATTTCATCGACGCTACGCAAAAAGTTTTTGCTTAGGGTAGGTTCGCACATGACCGCACATCATGCGTTTTCTTTCAACCTGCAATGACTTGATGATTTTATGACTTGAGATAGTGTTCTTTCGCACGTGAGTGTGTGTGAGTGCAAAGGAGAGCCATGGATTAAAGTGAGCAACAGTAGCAACAGCATCCTATTTGTGGTGGTCAATTCCAACACGAAATTCACATTTAATGGCAGATTTGTGTGCCGTTGATGCGATGTGCATGTTTTCCGTTTGTGATGCATTTTCTTTGCACCACCGGCCAACAACAGCAACGGCCACCGTTTTCTTTGTATTAGTTTTTTTTTCATCGTAAAACTTTTCTCTTAATCCCTCTGTAATGCTATACGTGTACTAGACGTTTTTCTAACCACTTGCGACTTTATTTTTCGCTTTTTCTTCTCGAAAGTGTGCGCGTACAAGTGTGAGTGTGACATGCACACAATGCATAATAGAGTGCACGTAACCACACAGGCGAATAAGAAACAAAAGCAAATAAACAATAAAAATAAATGTAGTTGAGGTTTT